ACAGAGGGCTCCAGCCAGCGCTTTCCTGTTGTCCGGGCAAGCGGTGGGGCCACGGGGCCACCTGTGCTTCGGGAGGGCCCGCCACGCCGCCCTCCGCCCACCACGTGCGCGGGCTCCGCGGCCCCCGCACCCTGCAGCCTCACCACCTGCTTTCTGTTCCTGCTGCTGTTGGGGTCACAGCCGTCCTCCCCGGGGCGCCGGTGTCCCCTCAGGGTGAGTGATCATCTTCCGTGGGCTCCTGGCCATCGCGTGTCTTCCTCTGAAGGGGGCTCAGCTCGCCCGTCGGGTGCCCATGACTGCGCCCGTCAGTGGTGAGTCCCCTTCCCGGTGAGTGGTCTGAGCCCCATACCCGCCGGTCGGCCGCCCTGCCCCACCGCCGCTCTCCGGTGCCCGTGCCTCCGCGTGCCCTGCCGTCCGTTTTTAGTGTCATTGCTCTCGCCGCAGGAGCTTTATTCCGGAGATGTCACCTCCCGCGGGGTCCCCAGCGGTTTTACGGATTTGGGTTTTGTCTTCCAGTCTGTAATCCACTTCGATTCTGTGAATGGCGAGAGATGGCGGAGCAGTCCCATCTCCCCGCGGGCGGGTCCCCGTTTGCAGAGAAGGCTCTCCCCACCGCGTAGCTCTCGTCCTCGGTCAGAAGGGGGCCTGGCTCATGTCATCAGGTCCCTCCGAGCTCCGCGCTCGGCTCCCCCATCTCCCCTGTGCCGCGACCACGTGCCTTCGGTCCCGGGAGGGGTGGGCTCAGGAGCTGGGAACCCGACAGCTTATTCTTTTTGCACGGTACTGCTTTGTGATACGGGGTCTTCTGTGCTTCCCGGCAGATTTTATAATTGACTTTTTCCTATTTCTGTGAAAAAATGTGGGACCAGCAGTTGGCATGATGGCTATGTCGCTGGACTCCCACGTAGTCAACCGCGGTTCAAGTCCTGGACCTGGTGGCTTAAACTCAGGCCGGCTGCGTGTGCGTGCCCAAGATCCCGAGAGGAGAATGGAGGAGAAGGGATTGAGGCGTGGCCATCCCCCCGGGGGGTGATTTCTCACTTTCTGTCTCTCTCTTTCTGGCGAGTGCACACACTCTATAGCGAAAATCACTCAAAAAAAAAAAAAAAAGTCACTGGAAACATGTCGGTAGCTTTAGGTAGAATCGATACTCTAACTATGTTGGTTTTTCCAATCCAGGAACGAGAGCTGTCTGTGTTCTGCCTTCCATTCCTTCATTCACTCTGTGCGACTTTTCCATTGGTTAGTGCGGTACCTTGTAGGTGTTGCGTGGGGCGTGGTGCCCCCTTTCTGTCTCGGCTCGCTGCAGGACCGCGTGCGGACTCCGTCTCGAGACCGCGCTCACGTGCTGAGCACGGTGGAGTTTGGGAGAAGCTCCCCACCTCTGTGCGCCCGTGTCGCCTGTAGGCGGGGCGGCGGGGCCACTTCCTGCCCCGAACGGCTGCCTCTTGCTCCCCTCCCTTCTTGGGCTGTGTCGCCCAGGACTTGCAGGAGGTGCTGAGTGGGAGTGGGGACCGTGGGCACTTGTCTCGTTCCAGGTTTGAGCGCAAGGCGTTGTGCTTGTCCCCACTGCGGGTGAGGCCAGCAGGGTGTGCTGCCGCCTTCGTCGAGAGCCTCAGTCATGAAGGGACGGTGGGCTTGATGAAATGCTTTCCGTGTCGGTCGATCCAGCCGCATGACGTCGGCTTTCTGCTAATGTGGCGTTTGCTTGTTCCGTTTTTGCCACAGGGCACATGCACTCACCGGAGAGCGAGACGAAGAGAGGGAAAGTGAGAACTACCTCCCGGTCGGACAGCCATGCCGCAATCCCTTCTCCCCCATTCGCCTCCTGGGGTATGGGACACTCACGCCTGGTGCAAGGCCCCAGATCAAGCCTCCAGGTCCAGGACTTGAACCTCAGCCAGCGTGTAGGGGTTCAGCACCCCAGCCACCCTGCCCCCTGCTCGCCCCAGTGTGATGCCTTAGTTACTGTCATCTGTCGAGCAGTTCTCGCGTGTCTGAGACGGGTCCCCCTTGGTCGTGGTGTGGCCTCGTGGTGGGCGCTTGGCCTTGCCTGGCCAGGGTTAGGCTGGGCGTTCTGTCTCTGCCCATCGGGGATCTTGGCCTGGGTGGTCGTGTATGACGGTGGCTCCCCAGGAGCGTGAAGGGTCCGCCTCCGAGAAGGGTCAGCCTTCGCTCTTTCTTGAAGGGTTTGTAGAACTCGGCAGTGAGGCCACGAGGACCCGGTTCTCCTCTGCCGAGAGGCCTACGAGCCAGCCCCTTGCTGTTCTCCCACCCTCGGGCGCTCGGGCTCTCCCTGGCTCCGTCTAGTTTCCGCATTGTCCGGAAACGCGTCTGCCTCTCCTGGGTTTGCCAGGGGCTAGCGTGTAGTTGGGCGTGACTCTGCGACATCGGCCATAATGCCCCTTTCGCGTCCTGGTTTTTATTTCCTGGGCCCTCCCTCTCTCGGCCTAGCTAACGGTTAACTTTAGGGTGCGCGGCCCGCGTCCCGGCCGGCGTTGCCGGAGGCGCCCTCTGCACTCTGCGGTGACGCACGCCCTTCTCGTACAGCAATACAACCAGGAGATCACCGACCTGAAGCAGCCGGTCCTGGTCAGCCAGCCCAAGAGGAGGAGGGGCCCTGGGGGCTCGCTGCCGGGCCCGGCCATGCTCATCCCCGAGCTCTGCTACCTCACAGGTACCGTGGGCCCGCCTCCCGGAGCGGGCACCCCGTCACTGCGCCCGGGCTCACCGTGACCCCGCGCCGCAGCCAGCACTGCCCTCGGTGCCCGCCACTCAGCCACACCCCTCAACGTCCCTAAGGCCTCACGGATAAAATGCGCAACGACTTCAACGTGATGAAGGACCTGGCCGTCCACACGAGGCTGACCCCGGAGCAGAGGCAGCGCGAGGTGGGGCGGCTCATCGATTACATCCACAGGTGGGCCCCCGCCCGCAGCGCGGCCTCGCTCAGCTGTGGTGTGGGCGTGGGGGTGACATCGGGGTACAAGGAAGGGGCACCCCCTTTCGGTTTCCCGTATTCGGGGTGGCCTGGTCCCTCGTGGGCCCAGCAGGGTCACCAGTCCTGTCCTCCAGAGACTGACACGATGACTTCGTGGCCTCTGGCCTTTGTGATTCTGGTCGGAGCGGGCGAGGGGCGGGAAAGTGCAGGGTTAGGGCGTGGACACGCATCGTCTGTCCTCGCTCTGCTGCGGGGCCCCTCTGCGGGGCGCGGCCTGGGCATCAGGTTTAAAGGGGTCGTGGAGGGAACCCAGGACAAGCTCAGGAGGTCCTGAGCCCCTCTGTCGGCCCGCGTGCCTGGGTCCCCGTCTCCTGAAGCTCAGCAGCATGGAGACGTGTTGAATTCACAGAGACGACAACGTTCAGAGGGAGCTTCGGGACTGGGGCTTGAGCTTCGACTCCAACTCACTGTCCTTCTCAGGAAGGATCCTGCAGGCAGAAAAGATTCACCAAGGCGGAAAAACAGTAGGCATTTTTTACAGTTGTCCGTCGAGCGGGGTTGGGGTAAGACTCGGTGGAATGACCCTCCCCCTCCTCCCATTCTGCCAGCGGTGAGGACTTGGGGACTCAGGTGGCGACACTCAGGAGGAGGGAGGAGGGTGCGGACCTTGGAGCAGCCGGGGTGTGGTGCTCGTCCTAGCCTGAGGACGGTGTTCCCCGTGCCCCACCACTTACGGGAGCGTCACGTGGAAAACACACGGCTTAGACTCGCTTTGCCCGGACCACTGGTTTGTAGTGACCCTCGTTCGAGCTTCGGAAAAGCAGCAGCGGCGTTCTCGAAGCAGCGCTGTAACTTGGAGCGCCGCGGCTGCCGACTCGGGGCAGCTCTGGGCAGAGCGACGGCGTCCTCAGCACCACACTGCAGCCACGTCGCGCTCCCGCACGGGTAGTGGGAGTGTTTCCTCCCACAGGTGTGCAGAGTCAGGGCAGGGCCTCCTGCCAGGCCACCGTGCTGTGACGCGCCCTCGCACCTCGCCCGCAGGCGCGGCCTCTCGCTTTTGCCGTTGGCCGCCCCACGGCGATTTAGCGCTGAGAGCCTCGCGTCTGTGGCTTTCTCTCAAGGACTTGGCACCTGTCCTTGCCAGAGCCCAGCGGGGGTTGAGCAGCGCCATGTCAACCTCTGCCACACCGGCTCTGGGTCAGGTGCCACCCTCCCTGGGTGCAGTCTGCCCTGTCCCCACCGAGGGACTCGAAGCTGCCACTCGAATCAGAGCTGGCAGCGTCCGCCGAGGTCTGGCGGTGCCGTGCCGGGACGGACGCTGCGTGCCCTCGTGGGGCGGGCGAGTGGGCCTCACGGGCCTCTGACGTCCCTTCCAGTTTGACTACAACCCGCAGTTCGCCGACTGGTCCAAAGAGACCCGGGGCGCCCCGCTGATCAGCGCCAAGCCGCTGGATAACTGGCTGCTGGTCTACACGCGGAGGAACTACGAAGCAGCCAACTCGCTGATCCAGAACCTGTTCAGAGTCACCCCGGCCATGGGCATACAGATGAAGAAGGCCACCATGTGGGTCTGGGTGGGCCGCGGCCGGTCGGTAGGCGTGGGGGGCACAGAGCGGGGCCTGTGGGGACCGGCGACCCGGGTGTGGGCCGGAGGGCTCAGCTCGGACCCGGCTCCCCCCGCGGCAGAGCAGCTTCCCAGACCGGGGCGCGCCAGGCTCCGGCCGTCGTGCCGGAAACGACTCAGCCAGTGGTGTGCTGGCGCATTTCCGACTCCGCGGCCGGCGTGTGCGAGGAGGTGCGGCGGGGCCCACGTGCCCGTGAGTGTGCACAGCTTCCCGGTGTCGGCTCTCCCTCCCAGGATCGAGGTGGACGACAGGACGGAAGCCTACCTGAGGGTGTTGCAGCAGAAGGTCACGTCCGACACCCAGATCGTAAGTGCCGGGCTCCCCGGCAGCCCCCTCCCCAGTGCTTGAGCGGTTCTAAAGGGGCCATTCGTGAATTCAGGGTTCCGGGCCCACCTTCTAGACATCATCATCGGGTTTCTAGACTAGCCACGGGTGCACATGTAGCCCCTGTGAGGCCGCCACACCAGCGGTGCGCCTGGGGCCCCACTGCGCTCTGCAAGGGCAGGCATGAGGACGAGGGTGGGGTGCAGGGAAATGACGCCTTCCTGAAAGTTCTCTCGCTCAGGCTTTAACTGTGCTGGAGGATCTGGGGACAGGCACAGGGCTGACGTCAGCTGTGACCCTCTAGTGCACACACGGGCTCAGTTAGGCTCTGGGGTAGCAGGAGGGCCAGGCTGTGGGGGCCCAGGTCAGAGAGCGGGTGCCGAGTGTGGGTGCCCAGGTCGGGGAGCGGGTGCTGGGTGTGGGGGCCCAGGTTGGGGAGCAGGGCCAGGCTGTGGGGGCCCAGGTCGGGGAGT